TAAACAAAGCCCAGTTAGAAATGACTTGATTCCTATTCTGAGGTCCATAAACCCACATTGAGAGTTCACTGTGGTCTGGCCAAATTAGCCTTAAAGTATGTCACCTTACTTTAAGGCCAAATTAGCCTTAAAGTAAGTAACTAACTTAAAGTAAGCTGTTCCTATCATGATTCTTACTTTGGACCTGTGAAGCTAGATTGTTCTTTTCTTAAAAAGGCTTTAGAACCATAAGAAATCCTTAGGATTAGAGAGATTTTCACAATTATCTTCTCTTTTTTTTGTCTCCTTTAGAGACATCAGAGCCCATTAAAAGTTTTCCAGAGAAGATTTTTGAGAAACCTGAAAATTCTTTAATTCATGAAATAAACATATTTAGTTTTGAGACATCTGAGAGTGTAAATTCCCATGTCCACTGCCCACCTTGTCCTTCCACAGAGCTGAGTATCTTGTAAGATAAAAGTCATCTCTTTCCAACCCCAAAAATGACAGTAGAGTCCATGATTCTTTGAATACTGCCCAAATTAAGATTGCCATGTTTTCTCAAAGGATTCATCTCTACAAAGACAATCAGATTATTTAATCTTCCGATATCTTTTTTTTTTTTTTTTTTTTTTTTTTTTTTGGCCAACTTTGGTTTTTACTTACTTTCTAATTAGCTAGTATCTAGGCATGACTAAAATATGCACTAAACCTCACAGCAACATCTTTTGTCTAAATAACTCTGACTTACTATTTATATCTCGGCTCAAAAGACTTTTCTTAGGAATGTCTTCTCTGGCCTCTTTAACCAGATCAGATTCTCCATATTTTATGTTTTCAGAGTACCATGTATCTATGTTTTATAGCTTGTATAATGATTATCAATTTACATATATATGATGATTTGAGTAATATGTGGCTCCACCACTGTACTCTGCGTCCCATGAGGGTCAGCCTCTATGTGTTTAAATTCACAATTGGATTTTGCTCCTCGCAGAGTGAATATGAAGTTGCTCAGCTCATGCGTGGGTTCATTTTGAAAATGATTTTACTGCAGCCATGTAGAAGCACATCAAAGAAGACTAAAGGCAACATGTGCTTGGCTCTGCAAGGACAAAGGTTGGCTGAATTCTGGTGCAGCCTCACTGCAGCCTCTGAACATATCGAAGTGCGTTGCTGCTTCACCACAGTGAACCCCTCAGGACGGAGCCAGCCAACCTTTGCTCCCCACTTAGGAGCTGACCATTCGGTTTTCTTGATATCTTTGCACTTCAAAAACTGTAAAACTGTTAAAGAAGTTGGTGCTTTGCCATCTATTTTAAAGATGCCTGCACACTTTTAATTAAAAAAATACACGTTAACACATTTAAAATTATGGTATATTTATAACACAATGCTAAATAATTGTGTTTTTAAACCTTTGTCTAAATATGTGTTTGTAATTATTTAATAAAGGTACAGAAAGGAAAATTAAGCCTCAAAGAAAGGTCACTTTAACAACCAGATTTTTGAAAGATGGGATAAATTGTGCAGACTTTGTAGAGCCCCTTCAAATATTACTACAGTTCTCTTTATTTTTTGTATTTTTTTACAGCTCTATTGCAATATAATAGACAATTAATTGCTTATATTTACAGTGTAAAATTCAGTGAGTTTTTTCAATTACAGTTGGCATACAATAATATAGTAGTTGCAGGTGTACAGCATAGTGATTAGAGATCTGTATAACTCACAAAGTGATCACCCCCACTAAATCTAGTTCCCCTCTGCCTCTTACATATTTATTATAATATTATTGACTGTATTCCTTATGTTATACTTTATATCTCCATGACTATTTTGTAACTATCCATTTGTACTTTTTAATCCTTTTGCCCTTTTTCACCAACCCCCCAATCCCTCTCCCATCTAGTAGCCCTCAAAATTTTCTCCATATCTGAGTTTGTTTCCATTTGTGTTGTTTATTTTGTTCTTTAGATTCCACATATATGTGAAATCCTGTAGTATTTGTCTTTCTCTATCTGACTTATTTCTTTCAGTGCAGTACTCTCTAGGTCCATCAAGGCAATATCTTTTTCCATCGCTGTACTTTTAGTCTGTGTGTGTCTTTTAATCTGAAGTGAGTCTCTTGTAGGCAGCATTATGTAAAGGTCTTGTTTTCTTTTCAATTCAGCCACTCTATCTTTTGACTGGAGCACTTAATTTTTTTTTTATTTGAGGTACTTGTTGATATGTAGTTATTACCATTCTTTATTCATGTTTTTGATACATGAAGTCCCTCCAACATTTCCTGTAATACTGGCTTGGTGGTGATCATGAGTTTTCATCACTTTGAATATTTTAGGCCAAGTCTTTCTGTCCTGCAAAGTTTCTTTTGAGAAGTCAGCTGCCAGTCTTATAGGAGCTCCCTTGTAAGTAACTAACTGCTTTTCTCTTGATGCTTTTAAGGTTCTCTCTTTATATTTATTTAACCTTTGGCATTTTAATTATGATGTGTCTTAGTGTGGGGCTCTTTGGGTTCATCTTTTTGGGGACTCTGAGCTTCCTAAGGTTATATGTCTATTTCCTTCACCAGCTTAGGGAAGTTTCCATCATTATTTTTTCAAATAGGTTTTCAACTTCCTCCTCTCTTCCCCAGGCATCCATAAAATACGAATATCTGATGTTATCGTATAGGCTCCTTATCTTCATTATTTTGGATTCTTTTTTCTTGTTGCTGTTCTGATTGGGTCTCCTCTTTTACCCCATCCTCTATATCGATGACTCGATCCTCTACTTTTTCTACTCTGTTGATTCCCTCTAATATACTCTTCATCTCAAATATTGTATTCCTCATTTTTTACTGGTTCCATCTCCATTTTTATCTTTTTATCTCTTTGTTAAAGTTCTCACTGAGTTCATCTACTCCCCCTAAGTTCATTGAGCATCCTTATAACCAGTGTTTTAAACTCTGCATCTGGTGGATTGCTTGACTCCATATTTCCTGGAGCTCTTTTCTGTTCTTTTATATGGGACATGCTTCTTTTTCTCTCTATTTTGGCTGCCTTTCTCTGTTTCTATGTATTAGGCAAAGCTCTGAAGTCTCCCAGTCTTATTAGCATGGCTTTGTGTAGTAGGTATCCAGTGGCACAGCCCTGAGAGGGGTCCAACTGCAGGCCAAGTTTAGCCCCAGCCTGTACCCCTCCAGGGCCACTTGGTAAGATTCAGCAAACAATTCACAAATGCTGTGCTTATAGTTGCTTCAAGAGGCCACGCCGGTGTCTGAGGCTAGGTGTCACCAGTGTGGGGCTTAGAGCTGCCCAGCAAGGGGCACAGAGCACACCAAGGGCATCACTAGATGTGGCTTGGGTAGGGCCGTAAGTTGGGAGGGGTGGGATTTCAGGAAATCCTCTGGGCTGAATGACCTCTGTCATACAGTTTGATGACATCTCAGGTATGGCAGTGACTGCATCTGCACGCTGTGAGTGGGGAGGAACAATGGATGCCACCAGCATTTCTACCGGGAAAAAGCCTCACCTCTGGCCCCCTTGCTCCAGTGCCTGACAACCTAGTGTCCTCCTGTATGTCTTTGGTGGCCCCCAAGCAGCCGACCTGGTGCTGGTGCTCAGAGCTAGCGAGTCTGTCACTGCAAAAGTCTGATTCCCTTTTAAGAGGAATGTCTATACCTGCTGGCAGGAACTGCCATAGCTGCTGTCTCACTCAGCCTCATGGGACCCAGCAGCCTCACATCTTTGCCTCTTTTACCATTGCAGGGTGATTTCTTATTTCTCTCCCTAGTTGTAAGGCTTCTGTTCATCCAGACTCCAGGAAACTCTGCTTGCCATTTGCTCCGTGATTCTGTCACGACTCTGGTGTGGTCACAAGAGGAGATGTACAAAGCATCTGTCATCTATGCCGTCTTGCCCAGTCCCTCACACCTGAGATTACAGTTCTCTTTTTATTTTGTCAAAGACAGTAGTTGAAATAATTTGGAATTGGAAAAAAATCTTTTGATATTAGCTCTAACTAGAACTTTAGTGGTATCATAGTATAGTTTGGATTTGAATCTTTTTTAACTTGAACATTGGAAAAAGAAGAGTAAAAATACAAATGAATTTGCCCATATACTTGATAAATGCTTGTGATTTTGTTAAGCCTGACTTGGACTGAGCATAAATATTTTGTTAGATGATTTTAGAACTCAGCTACTTATTAACCAAGTGGCCTTGGCAAGATTCTTGACCTTACCTATAAAATGGGGCTATCGCACATGATAGTTTTGAGAATTAACGAGATATGTGTATTGTGCCTGGTACAGGACAGGGCCCAGCAAATAGCAGGCTCTCAGTGCTGGTTATCTCTGCTGCCCTCCATGTCCACCCTCCCCTCCCACCACATGCACATAATGCTAACCTTGTTTCTGTTGGCTCATTCTGTGATTCTGTTTTTCTTCTCTTAGTTGACCTGCTAGATAGAAAAAGAAGTATTTTCACTATATTTGCCAAGCACTTCTAGTTGCTTGTACTACATCAACGAACCCAAGATACAAAACCCCTACCCTTATGCATCTTATATTCTAAGGAGCATATGGAACATGGAGATTATTCATAAACTTTTTCTTGTTACACTTATTTCATGGTTGCATTTTTTTTGTGATTTGGGTGAATCATAATTATTGACAGTGGGAATTATTTTATAATTAAGGTTCTATAATATCAATAGTGCAGGGTTTTTCTCTCTCCCTCATCTTTTCCCTCTGGCTGAATCCCTCCTTGTCTTTCTTTCTCTCCCATCTTTTCCAACGTCCTCTCCCCCACCTTTCTTTTTGTGTGTGTATTTGAACTATAAAAAATTTTTACCCATGCTGTTTTTTTCTTCCTTAGCTTGATTCACATTCCAGCTAAATTCAGCTTCCTTTATGTGACGCATGTTTTGCACCTCCTCAGGGATGATAGAAGGGTTTTTTGGTGATGATAGGCCTCAGAATGCATCCTTCCATCATTAGGTACCTGATTGAATTACACATCTCTCTTTCTTGTTAGATCGTTGGCTGTGATCACCAGTTGGGAAGCACTGTCAAAGAAGATAACTGTGGAGTCTGCAACGGAGATGGGTCCACCTGCAGGCTGGTCCGAGGGCAATATAAATCTCAGCTCTCTGCAACCAAACGTAAGAAACTATAGATATGGGGAAATCTTTGGGCTTTTTGACTTGTTATCTGCCCGGCTTAGATCCCCTCAGCAACTAAGGAATAACACCTCCACAAAAATAGAGACAAATCTGAAAATACTGTGGAAAGTTTCATGTCTCTCCTCTGTGGATTAGTTCAAGTGAGACAAATCAGGTCACCTATTGCAACTCCAAGGAGGAAACCTTTCCATTTGAGGCACATTAAGAGTAAGCCAGATGTGGATCTAGGTACACTCTATGTGCAAGCTTGAGCTTGTTGCCCAACATGAGGACAGATTGCATCACAGTCCCTACCTAATACGTAGTCAGATGTGCCTGGTGGAATATAGCAGGGAAAATAGGTGGATCAGAACAAATTCACTCCTACTACAGTGAAGTCATGTGATCTTTTTTCAAAATTAACATTGGGCAGTAATTATGTAAAGCCATTCATTGACTTTTGTGTCCTAATATCTCTACACCAACACAATACATGTATTCTTACATTGCATGTATGTGCTGGAAACTTTACATAATCATCTCATTTAATCCTTATAGCAACCTTATAGGAAGGTACTGTTTATCCCCATGTTATGAATGAGGTATCTGAGGCTTAAACATGTTATGTGACTTGCTCAGAGTCACACAGCTATAAAGAAGCAAAACCCAGATTTAAAGCCAGAGTCTGATCCCAGAGCCTAAGCACTTATTTGTTCTGATCCCAGAGCCTAAGCACTTATTTGTTCTCACAGCCCTGCTGACTGTTTCCATGGTGGGACATTTGTAAACAGTCAGCTGGATCAAGGCAAGGTACCTCAGATATCTGCCAAGGTGCGTCCTGCTAGGGTAGATGGTCTCATCATACCTCACCCAACCATGGAGTGACACATCAATCTAGTTCATTTTACAATACACTGTGCTCTGTGGCAATTGCTCTTCTAGGTGCTGCAGCAGATATAGAAATAAAACAGCTCTGTACTCAAGGACATATGCATTTTTAGAATAATTTGACCTTGTTTGGCATATTGTCTCCAGATTTTGCCATTCTCCAGAATCCTTTAATAGATTCTTGATTGAGTATCTCCTTGTACATGTCTCCCTGCCTTGGGAAATGGGAATGAATGTCTTAACTGAATGTGTTTTTGTTCTCTTTACTTGTTGACTAGCTGGAGGAAAACAGTTGACATATGAGGGGTTTGTGGCTTTAAATGGACTTGTAGATCAAGAAGAAAGACAGTGTGCACTGGAGAACTATTCCAGGAAGTCAGGAAAAGGCAGCTTGCCAAAAGGACTAGGCTCTAGGGAAGAAGAAATGGCAGGGGAAAAGGCTAGGGACTTTTAAATGCATGAAACATTGGAGGTGCCAGCTTAGGGAACTCTCCACATTCTAACACCCCTGCAGGCAGTGAAAAATGTGATTCTGAAAAAAAAAAAAAAAACTGGCAGAGAGAATGGACGATGAGGTAAGTTAGACATTGATATAGTACATTCAGGCAAGTTTTTTTTTCCTTTGGTCATGCGTTGGTAGCATTTTCTATAAGATGAAAAATTAAAGAATTTAGACGATAGAAACCAGAGAAGGATAAAAGCATAATTCTTTTGTAAATCTTTAAAATTATGATGGGATATTTGAAAAAAAAAACCCTCTTAAGGAATACTAGAACAGTTAAAATCTTTTTACTTATTCATGTCACATAATTGAATCAGTGCTCATTATCTAGGAATCTAGAAATTTCTGTTAGACACAAAAATAGATGGCAGGCATGTGTGCAATACCTGCAGTACAGCACCTTCTGAGGGCATGCTTTTCCTGGTGGGAATCCTTCCTTTATTACCTATATTTATTCCATTATTCCGCCACCTTCCCATCCTCATAGAGGAGCCCAAAATTGCTGCTCAGATCCATATTCCTCTTACCCTCCTGTAGAGGGTGATCAGGGACCTTTGGGGCCTGAGTCACTGAAGCGAAGGGGGAAAAGCTCGGAAGGAACAAACTGAAGCAAATTGAGAGCCATAAGTCATCTCCAGGACTGCAAATAGATACTTCAGTGCAAAGCGCTCTATTCAAGACCGACAATGGGTAAATTATATAATACACAACCTGATGATTTTCCATAATGACAAAATGCAATAGATTCATTTACCTTAGCACTGATGACGCCTCATGACAAAATGATTTATATCAATAAAGCTCGGCATATGTGTGCACCTCACCACAATCTATAGCAGATGCTGAATAAACTGCCTCGCTTATATTTTCTCCACCCCAGAAAAACCTTCCACCCAAATTTACAGGCTGTGCGGTGACCCACAGGCAGGGAAGATTAGGCTGCTCTGCAGGGCCCAGTGTACTGGCCAGGTGAGTGGCTCTCCACCCACGAAGGCCTGGAGGAATTCTGCCAGGTTTCTCCTTGTGCTCTGCCAAAAGGACTGCAAGCCAGACACATGCTCTTTCGAACTCCTAGCACTTGGATTCCCCACATTGAACTCATTTTCTTCTGAACTTATATCCAAGTTTTTTTTTTTTCTTATGTTATCAAGCCTTGAGGGAACAAAGAAAAAAAAAAGGAGAATAGAGAAAGACTATGGTGGAAAGTGCCAGAAGAAAAGGAGAAGTAGGGGGAACTTATCAAATGGTTGCCATTTGCCGGCAAATAAAAAAAGAAACCCTCTTTGTATTAAAAGACATTATATTTGCCTAATGCAGATACAGAACAAAAATAA